GCTGCGCACTTCTGTTGCCCGTGTGTCTGCAGCTTCAGCCGTCGTCTCGCATCTTCTCGCCCCCACAGTTTCTCCTTCTCCTCACTTGCTCTTGTGATAGTCTCTAGCGTCCTTATAATTGTGAACTATGCTCTGCCTGCTTGTTGTGTTGATTGTACCCCACTTGACTGTGGGGGTGTGTCAGAATATGATGTTTGTGTAGCCTGCATTGGGGTACTCTATAGTGAGTACAGCGTGAATAGGGTTTGCTATATGTACTCAACTGCATGCTAGTGAAAACTTGTCTTTTCTGTTTATCGTTTTAGTCTGTTGTTTCAACATTTATGGGGTACAGTAGTGTTAGGGTTTCCTACTTGTACTCTCATGCTGCTCAATGAACTCATTCCTTGCTTACTCTGACAGTTCGATGCAGGGGGCCGCCCGATACAGTTCGTCGCATGGCTAGATGACTTGCAGCTGACTTACTGAGCGATTCTAAGGACGACATCTCGCTGTTTGACCTCACGTCTGGCGCCTCTCCGCCTTCCCGAAACAGGGACAGTGCGATTCGCTCACATTGGCTTACCCGTGACGCTGCTGCTCGCCTAGCCGTTCGCAACCACCTGCCGTTAGCTGAACGCGCTCACTTTGGCCGCACAAGACTGCTAAATCCCTATACAACGCTGTAGTCAATCCGTTACTCCTCCCGGCCACTGCTACTCTAGGCCGCCTTATCCTGCCCTACTGTTCCCCGAGCTGTTTGCCTTTGCCACAGTCGCCGACCTCGTCACTCACCTTCGCACTAGTGACGCCCACTACCAAGCCGCGCTTCCCGTCGAGTTTCTAGCCAAGAACCCTCCTCCCATGTACATCACGCTCTACTACATCACACCCGCTCTCTGACTCTCTTAGCACAGTCAGGGACCTCCCTCTTGCTCTTGATCCCACAGACCTCACTGTCGACTTGCTGAGAAGCATCTCCTTGCATCTGAGACAGCATAGTAGCTGTAGGCGCTTCTCGTGGCATTCCTGTACTCCCTTCTTTGAGGGGTGTTCCCATCCCCCTTGTCACCTCTGCCACTTCTGCTGCTGCTGTTGACTTCCTTCGTGCTGAGGAGGTTGGGGCTGCGTCTGCTCCTAGTGGGAGGCGCTGCAGTGGCAGGGGCAAGGGAGGACATGGTGGCGGGGGGTGGCGGCGGTGGAGGCAGTGGTGGGGCCGGGGAGGCGGTGGAGGTGGCGTTGGTGGCGGTGGGGTTGGTGGTGGAGTGGAGGCGTGGGTGGCGGCGGTGGTGGTGGCAGTGGGAGTGCGTCGGCGGTGGTGGTGGAGGCACTGGGAGTGGTGGCGGGAGCGGTGGTGGTGGTCGGGGTGGAGCTATTCAGAGGGGAGGTTCTGGAGGCGGCAACGGCAGCAGCAGCAGCGTCCGAGCGAGACCCCTTCGCCCCAGCAGCTTCGTGAGTGGTTTGCTCGGCGTGGGGCGTCTGGGGGTAGTGTTCGCTACCCGTATGGTATTCTCACAGGTGTCCGCACTGGTCAGGCATGTGGCAAGCCCCATACCTAGTACTACTGCTTCTCCCGTCCTGACGACGCCTTTCACACAGAGTTTCCTGACGCGACTGAGCTCCCCCGCTAGGCAGAGCTGCTTAGGCAGGGTGTGGATATCTTTGCTCTTGATTATGATGCTATCCTTGCTGCCATGTATGCATTGACTATTAGTGCTGAGGGCGACTGTTACCTGTGTGTGCAACCCGACCCAGGTATAGAGGCTGCTGCTCTAGGTGCTAGTGAGTCTGCTCTCTCTGGTCACCCCTCTCTGCCCGCCTCCGTGGCAGAGAGGGGTGACCAGAGAGAGCAGACTCACTAGCACCTAGAGCAGCAGCCTCTATACCTGGGTCGGGTTGCACACACAGGTAACAGTCGCCTCAGCACTAATAGTCAATGCATACATGGCAGCAAGGATAGCATCATAATCAAGAGCAAAGATATCCACACCCTGCCTAAGCAGCTCTGCCTAGCGGGGGAGCTCAGTCGCGTCAGGAAACTCTGTGTGAAAGGCGTCGTCAGGACGGGAGAAGCAGTAGTATAGGTATGGGGCTTGCCACATGCCTGACCAGTGCGGACACCTGTGAGAATAACATACGGGTAGCGAACACTACCCCAGACGCCCCACCCGAGCAAACCACTCACGAAGCTGCTGGGGCGAAGGGGTCTCGCTCGGACGCTGCTGCTGCTGCCGTTGGCCGCCTCCAGAACCTCCCCTCTGAATAGCTCCACCCCGACCACCACCACCGCTCCCGCCACCACTCCCAGTGCCTCCACCACCACCGCCGACGCCACTCCCACTGCCACCCCACCGCCGCCACCCACGCCTCCACTCCCACCACCACCCCCACCGCCACCAACGCCACCTCCACCGCCTCCACCGCCCCACCACTGCCTCCACCGCCGCCACCCCCGCCACCATGTCCTCCCTGCCCCTGCCACTGCAGCGCCTCCCACTAGGAGCAGACGCAGCCCCAACCTCCTCAGCACGAAGGAAGTCAACAGCAGCAGCAGAAGTGGCAGAGGTGACAGGGGGGATGGGGAACACCCCTCAAAGAAGGGAGTACAAGGAATGCCACGAGAAGCGCCTACAGCTACTATGCTGGTCTCAGATGCAAGGAGATGCTTCTCAAGCAAGTCGACAGTGAGGTCTGTGGGATCAAGAGCAAGAGGGAGGTCCCTGACTGTGCTAAGAGAGTCAGAGAGGCGGGTGATGATGTAGTAGAGCGTGATGTACATGGGAGGAGGTTCTTGGCTAGAAACTCGACGGGAAGCGCGGCTTGGTAGTGGGCGTCACTAGTGCGAAGGTGAGTGACGAGGTCGGCGACTGTGGCAAAGGCAAACAGCTCGGGGAACAGGTAGGGCAGGATAAGGCGGCCTAGAGTAGCAGTGGCCGGGGAGGAGTAACGGATGACTACAGCGTTTGTATAGGGATTTAGCAGTCTTGTGCTGGCCAAAGTGAGCGCGTTCAGCTAACGGCAGGTGGTTGCGAACGGCTAGGCGAGCAGCAGCGTCACGGGTAAGCCAATGTGAGCGAATCGCACTGTCACCTGTTTCGGGAAGGGCGGGAGAGGCGCCAGACGTGAGGTCAAACAGCGAGATGTCGTCCTTAGAATCGCTCAGTAAGTACAGCTGCAAGTCATCTAGCCATGCGACGAACTGTATCGGGCGGCCCCCTGCATCGAACTGTCAGAGTAAGAGCAAGGAATGAGTTCATTGAGCAGCATGAGGAGTACAAGTAGGAAACCCTAACACTACTGTACCCCATAAATGTTGAAACAACAGACTAAAACGATAAACAGAAAAGACAAGTTTTCACTAGCATGCAGTTGAGTACATATAGCAAACCCTATTCACGCTGTACTCACTATAGAGTACCCCAATGCAGGCTACACAAACATCATATTCTGACACACCCCACAGTCAAAGTGGGGTACAATCAACACAACAAGCAGGCAGAGCAGTAGTTCACAATTATAAGGAGCGCTAGAGACTATCACAAAGAGCAAGTGAGGAGAAGGAGAAAACTGTGGGGGCGAGAAGATGCGAGACGACGGCTGAAGCTGCAGACACACGGGCAACAGAAGTGCGCAGCACTGTCGCTACCAGGCTAAACCCGGACAACACGGCGACAGACGCTGCTGGCTCGCTATGCTCCCACGAGTGCTCACACTG